TCCCGACATGCCTCTCTCTCTTCTGCCTCCACATCTTTGTTCGGCCTGGTTGCCCCTGTCTGGCCTGCCCTCTGCTACCATTTCCTCTGGAAACTTCCATGCATCTTTTCTAGTTTCAGTTCCATCTGAGGGCTTTTGTGAAGCTTTCTCTGACTACAATGGCCCTCCCAACTCTGAGCTCATAAAGTCTCTTCCATGGGAAAATAGGAGGTGGAAACCCCCAGAGTCCCAAAATCTTTTTCCCCCCTGTGGCCACTGTTAGATGTAGTAGAAACTAAGAAGTCAGGCAATAAGGTGCTGGAAGAACTCCAGGCACGTGTGGCCAAAGAGTGGTTTCCCAGTGGACTGTCCCTGACCTCCCTGGACTATGATCTCCATGTCATCTAGAGGGGTCACTTGCCCTTCCAAAAGTCAACTCCCTGGCGCCTTACTCAGGAACAAGTACCTCCTAACAGAAAGTGGTCAATGGGTTTATTGATAAATTCAGGCACACTGGGGCTTCCTGATGCCCAGCTGAGCAGCTGCTGTTCCCATCTCCCCATGGGCCCACCTCCAACTGCCCCGACATCCACTCGGTGCAAATGAAATTGAGCCATTCCTCTCTTAAATGTAGGCGGCTATGAGCAGGGCTGCCAAGGACACAGCCAACTCCTTAGCATGTCATCCAGGACCCTTCACAATCTGGCTCTCACTCCCTTTCTAGGCGCTTCTTTTTTATGGCTGTCACCTCATGATCTCTTGGCATTCCTCAAGCCCACTGTAACCTTCCCTGCCTCTTCATTCTAAGTAGAGGGGAGATGAAGAGGCAGGGAAGGTTACAGTGGGCTTGAGGCTTAGAATGTCCTTTTTAATTAGCCTCTTTACCTAATGAATCCTACTCATACTTTAAAACCCAGTTCAGCTGTTGCCCCCTATGAAGAACCCTGCCAACCTGTCACAGTGTACTCTCCAGTTCTCCCATCAGCCCTCTATTGTCAAGCTCTCCACAGTACTGCCAGTATGCCTACTCACCAGACCACCCAGTGCCTGCTTACTTAGGCTTACTCCTCTCTCTCCCACAAGACCATAAGCATTAGGAGGTCAAGGATGATTTTGTTACCCTTTATCTGTCCAGCAAGGTGTCTGATAACCACACATTTTATTTAAAGAATTGAGGAAAGAAAACACAAATAAATGAGTGAAGCTCTTTCTTTTTTTCAAAAGATTTATTTATTTACTTTGAGAGAGACAGAGAGCACAAGCAGGCAGGGCAGAGGGAGAGGGAGAGGGAGAGAATCTTGAGCAGACTCTGGGCTGAGCATGGAGCCCGACATGAGGCTCGATCTCACAACCCTGAGATCATGACCCTGAGCTGAAACCAAGAGTCAGACGCTCAGTAGATAGCGCCACCCAGGCGCCCCTGAATGAAGCTCTAAGGAAAGACATCATCCTTCCCAGCTTTCCCATCCAAAATGCCTGGTATCTACTCTTGGTAGGTATGAGTTGGTGAGGAACTAGACAGGGGCACAGAGCCATGTTTGCAAAAGGTAGGCAGTCATGGAGGTGGCAGAGGAAACTACTTGTGTCCAAATGAACAGCTCCCCTAGAAAACCTCGGTCAGAGGGGTCTTTCATTTCTGTATTTCTTGTTTACACTCTCCTAGTCTCCCATACAGGTTCCATTTCTAATGAAATGTATTAAGTGATATTCTGCAGAAATGTCCTAATTATTTTTTAATTTACTAAGTAGCTATCAAGCCAGGCTTGAAAAATCCCATACCCAGTACTGCAGTTGCTCTGTGAAGCACCATCCCCAGGATTTTTTCCCTCTGGTAATTGCTATTTCCACCTTTAGGCCCGGCACAGGATTCCTGCCCGCTAGTTTATTTTTTGGCTAATTTGGTTCCTTTACATCATATGACTTTCAGTGACCCATATGCAATAAGGGAATCATCCTACTAGGACTGTCTTTAGAAGGTTCACAAAGGTATGCTAAACATAAGCAATATATCAACTTTTAAAACCAGGCAGAATGAGTCTGTATCATAAGTCCCAGGAAAGCCTATTATGTTCTTTAAAAAAGAGAATCAAAGAGCTTCTTGATCTCTGCCATTTTCTGTAGGAAAATGCCTCACCAAGTACATCCCTTCCCATGCATTCTGTAGTGGGTCATTTATGGGGTCAGAGAAAGACACTGAAAACTTGCCCAAGCTGTTTAGCTCATATTTATTAACAGCTTAATACAGACCCGGAGCTGTGCCAAGGCCTTTGCATGCCTTGTGTAATCTTTCCCCAACTCCTGGAAGGTTTTTATTCTGATTCCGCAGCTGAGGAGCTTGGAACACAAAGAGGCTGATAACTTATCCCAGGTCACATAGCTGTGGGTGCCAGAGTCAGCTTTTGAAGTCAGGTCTGCCATGTAACCATTACTCTGAGCTCCATGGCATGTTCCCTGATTTCGTGTTCAAGAAGAGTTTTTCCAATATGTGGAATTCCTAGACAACTCTCCAAGGGAAGATCTTACTCCTTTCGGCATTTTACACTATATTCATATGATCTTCTCTTTAAAAGAAACTATAAAAAATAATAAATAAATAAATAATAAAATAAAAAATAAAAGAAACTATAGTAATTATTCAAAAAATAGGATTCGAGTATTCATCATATACAGATATGCAAGCCTTTTCTAACACTTTTTAAATAATACAAATCCCATGAGAAAAAGATTATTTGTGTCCACTTGGCCCACATTTTAATTTTTTTTTTGAGAGAGAGAAAGAGCATGCAGGTGTTGGGGTGGGGGGCAGAGAGAGAGAGAGAGAGAGAGAATCCCAAGCAGGCTCCATGCCTAGCACTGAGCCCAACGTGGGGCTCGATCGGATACCCAATATCACGACCTGAGCCAAATCAAAAGTTGGATGCTTCACCAACTGAGCCACCCAGGCATTCTGGGCCACATTTTTAGATTTTGGTATTAAATGCCCTCAATGGGTGCAAAATGAACAACTCTTTTTGTCATTCATTGGAAACAGACATTTGCATTCTGCATGCTGCTGCCCACCACCGGACAGATGTTTTTCACAAAGGACCTCATTCAGTTCTCAAACATTTATTAAGCGTGCCCCTTACATGGGACAGTTGCTGGGCAGTATGGGCAAACAGCAAGGAAGAAGATATGGCCCTGGCTTTATAGACGTTCACAAGCCAGCAGTTCACCCCTTTGAGGAATTTCAGGTCCACAGAAAGACCATAACATCAGGTCCACTGAAGTCCATAAGACAAGAAGTTCAGGAGAGAACTAAATCATAACCACTTTGGAAAGTATGAGTTTTCTTTGTTGGAAAAGTTCTCAGAGGCCAATGTCTCACCTCCAGCTTCTTTCATTAGTGCTTATGGACCAGTATTGGGAGGACCAGGCCAAGGGTAAGACTAGGGTGGAAGAAGCCACAAGCTAATTGCAAAGATCAGAACTCAAGTAACATGTGGGTTGCCTCTGAGAATCCAGCAGCTTGACTGAAAATGGATTAATTTTTATTTCCAATGGGTTTTAAAAACAGGCAACATATATGAATATTCTGAAACAAACTGAAGTTCAAGCAATACAAAGTGCTAGGCAGTGAGCTTTCCTTCCACCCTCAGAGGCAGCCTCTCTTACCTCGTTCTCGGGCTCCTTCAAAAGAGAGTTCTGGGGGCACCTGGGTGGCTCAGTCATTAAGAGTCTGCCTTCAGCTCAGGTCATGATCCCGGGGTCCTGGGATCAAACCCTGCATCGGGCTCCCTGTTCAGCAGGAAGCCTGCTTCTCCCTCTCCCACTACCCCTGCTTGTGTTCCCTCTCTCGCTGAGTCTCTCTCTGTCAAATAAATAAATAAAGTCTTAAAAAATAAAAAAAAAAGAGAGAGTTCTGTGCATTTATAAAGTTTATAATGCCTTCAGCTTCTGGGTCACACAGGGCTAAGTTAGGTGGCCCATCCCCAAGACCTGGCCCCAGGGATGGGTCAGGAAAGTGGGCAGTGTAGAGTTAAATGAGGGAGAATTGCTCCAGGCCTGGTCAACTCAGGGGCACTGCCCAGTTGACCACTCGTTGTGTGCTGGGACAAGGAGAGGGAAGGAGGAGCCAGGCCCTCCACACTCATAGCTCACCTCACAACTGTGCTAGGCACTGCCCACCCTTTAGAGAGAAACAAGGTATGTGGTGGGCATAGGAAGTGGATAGGGGAGAGATTCTGGAAAATTCTAGGGAGGTTTTAAGCGCTCATAAGGCAGGCTGGCCCAGCAGCTGTTAGGGCTTCTTGGCTGGGGTGCTGGCTTGCTGGGGCACGTGCTACCCTGTGGGGCCCAGGGCGGTGCCTCAGTGATGAGGAGAGAAGCTTTTAAATGTCTGTCTTCCTAAAACCACTCTGCCTCTAGGAGAAGCACGCAGCTGGTGTATAACCTCCACGGCAGCAAGTCCAGTTGTTTATCACCCTATCCTGTAATATATTTATAAAGTAATGAACGGTCGGTTGAACCAAGTTTGGGCTTCTGTCTTGCCACGGGCACCTCCTCGCGCGAACCCTCACCCGGGGAGCCCGTGGACGTGGGCTGCAGCCTTCCAGCTTCAATTCCCTTCCTCTGCCACCCCTCTTCCTTCCTCTCTCTCTGCCCCTCCCCCCGCTTATTTGGGAGATTAGAGTTCATTAATTAAATCTTGTGCTTATATCGAACTGTAACATTATTCCAATCACATTTATCTTACAGGCGGCGTAAGAGATGGCAGCCTCGCTGGAAACGCGCGGGGGAGCCTGAGCAGGCGTCCGGGGACGCACAGAGCGGCGCGCTCCTTCGCCACGCCGCCGCGCAGACCCTCCATCTTCCTGCCCAGCCTCCTGGCCCCGCTCGGCCCTGCCTTGGGGGTCGGCTTCTCTCTAGGGCTCCTGCCCTTCCCCATCCCCCCCGCCCGGGCCTCCGCGGCTCCCCTGCCGGGTCCCCCTCCCCCGCCACACACGCTGACACGCGCGCGCGAACACACACACACTCACACACACTGACACGCCAGCGAGCTGCTGGCCGCTCAATGGACCGATTTCCCTGCTTCCCCTGATCCCAGCCCAGCCCGGGATGAGAAATTGCAAAATGGCCCGGGTCGCCAGTGTGCTGGGACTGGTCATGCTCAGCGTCGCCCTGCTGATTTTATCGCTCATCAGCTACGTGTCCCTGAAAAAGGAGAACATCTTCACCACTCCCAAGTACGCCAACCCAGGGGCGCCCCGAATGTATATGTTCCACGCGGGATTCCGGTGAGTGCGGGCCTCTACTTGAGCGCCCTCGGGTATCTGGTTTATTTGGGGGGGGACAGGGGGGTATTTTGGCTTCTCTGAGACACTTTGGGCAAGATAATTGCGTGGTCGTTCCACTCCTCTCTGATTCTCCCTTCCCCCTCTCCTTTATTTTTTTTGAATCCAAAGCCCCTAAAAGCCGTTGTCCTAATCGATGTGATTGCATTTCTCGTATTCTTCCTCGGCATCCCTTCCCCCATTTCAAAAATGGGGGGAGGGTTTAAGGAGAATGATGATGTAGAGAGAGGAGAGGTGGGGGGGAGGGGGAGGAGGGGGCGCTGAACCGGGAGATGGACGTGCGTGAGGTGAGCACCTTCCCGGTGCAGCGTCCGCCGACTCCGCGGCGGGACTCCGGGCGGTCCAGGGCCGATTTAATGGCGCAGGCGCTGGACTCCCCTTGCGCTGTCCTCACTCCTCTCCCCCACGCCCCACCCCATCAAATGATGCCGCGGGTCTATTCTCCTGAAGCCCCTGGGGTATTTTACCTCGATCCTTTCCCCCGCTGCCACCCCCACCCCTTTCCGGGATTTCTGCAATTCCTCCGCCCTCTGCGGTAAGCGAGGCTCTTAAGGGCCCCCTACCCTCGCCCCAGGTCCAATTCACCTCCGGGCGAGGGGCTGGACTGGGAAAGAGCCAGACGCAGCTTGGCGCAACTCATTGAGAACCCCTGCCTCTACCTGTGACATTTAGGAGCTCTCCCAGGAGGACCTCCTGAGGGGCAGGTGTCAAATACAATCTGCAACCTGTGGTCCAAGCGGGCCGGAGGTGCGGAACCTAGAGAAGCCCCCTCCCCCCCGCGGGCAGAAGAGTGGAGCTGGCCTGTGGCCTCCGGGGGTCCCCAGTCAAGGGACAGGGAGTGCAGTCGGACTAGGTTCGGGAAGTAAGAGGTTAAGGGAGGAGCCACCCCAGTCTTCCCCTGGGTCTCCGGTTTCCTCTGCCCTTTCTCCAAAAATCAATTCGCCCGGACAGCCGGAGCGTAGCGGGTCCGACTGGCGGAGGCGCGGCCGCTGTCCGCGGTGCTGACTCCCTGGTCCTTACGGCGCATCAGGCTCCAGCAGTGCGCCGGGCTCCCGCCCCTGCTCTCCGCGAGACGGCCATTTTATGGTCTCTCCCGCACCCGGAGGGATGGACAATGGAGGCGGATTTCCCTAGTTTTCTTCTCCCCCCTAAGTGTGTGTGGGAGCGGAGAGTGGACCAAATGAGAGAGGCTCAGGCGGGATGGAGCCAGTGTGTGTGCCCGGTGCCCCCCCTCCCCCAGTCGCCTGGGCTTTAATGGCTACCTTGGCTTCTCCCCCCAGCTGAGGCCAGCACTTTTGTCTGTGTACTCATGCTCCTCTCCAGGTCACAGTTTGCGCTGAAGTTTCTAGATCCGTCATTTGTGCCCATTACGAATTCTCTGACCCACGAACTCCAAGAGAAACCTTCTAAGTGGACATTTAATCGGACAGCGTTTTTACATCAAAGGTAGGATAGGGGGAAAGATCTGAAAGGTGTTTTTGAATTCTGGAGTTCAAAAAACAAAACAAAACAAAACGATCCAAAACAAGGAAAATCTATCCCCCACCCTGAGGTGTTATTTGCATTGTCTTCTCGGCCTGACTGCACAAAGGCTGACTGGTAACCCTTTCTTATGTACGTAGTGCCCTCCCATAAAAAGAAAACATGAAGAAGACCAACTGAATGGAAGAGAAAAAGATATTTCCAATATCCACCCTACCTTGGGCTTAATTGAGCACAATGATTTATAGTTAACATGCATGGGTAACGCTGCCAAAGCCATCTACTAAAATTAAATAAATAAATAATTTACAAAAAGTTAATTGCATCAAGACCATGCAATAATGCATTTCATTCTCCCTCTGAGAAAAAAAATATTTAAAAATGAAATAAAATAGAATTGTCTCACCCTGAAATACACAGCAAATACTATAATCCGCCCCTATCAATTACTAGTGAAAATCTTGGCCCAAATATATGCAGGTATTTAAGTATGGTTTTGTTTTGGTTTCACCTATTTTTTTCATTAAACCTTTACAGCCTTTAACATACTGTTAAAGCTACCCAACATCACTTTTATAGGTTCTCTTGTAGCAGCCTTGTTTATACATGAGGGAGTTTATGTGTATGTATGTATGGGGTGTGTGTGTGTGTCTGTGTGTGTGTGTGTGTGTGTTGGGGAAGAAGGATGAGATTTATTCAAATTTGTTATCTCGAGTGATTCTGGTCTACTCTTAGCAACCCCAGATAAGTCATTACTCCTTCCTTCTTGGTGGGATTATTATGCTGCTAAATGGAATGTGAGCCATCTAGTGTATTCATTAGGGTTGTGAATACTTATTTTACACATACTCATTTTACCACTCATTTACAGGGTTCTGTTTGGTCTCAGCATTTCTAATTACCCACTCTTTATTATTTTAAGCTAATAACGGAATTAAAACAAAGTCACTAGATGTCTATGGTGTCATGAAAATGTTGTTTACTTGAAAAGCTGAAATAGTCATGTGATTAGTATTAAAATTTTTAAAACTCTGTTTAATTAGAAATTACTTCATGACAATAATTGATTAATATGAAAACCACAGAAGTGCCTTTCTTTTAAACTATTTGGTTTTTAGTCCAATATTAATTTTATAGACAACCCAGAAATATTTAATGGTAGTACACATTATACCTTCCCCAAAATGTATTCCTAACTGAATAAAAATTTTCTTCCCACACTAGGCCATGTGACCCAAATGACCAGTCAGAACAATATTTCTTTCTCAAAACTTCCCTCCTTTCAAACCACTTATTAAGTAGTCTTTAATTAATTTTCCCAGTATCATTTTAAATTTTCTTTTATAACAGGTAAAGAATAGTTTGTAAAGAACAGCATTGGTAACTTTGGAAGTTTTAGATTATGTTGCTTTATACGTTGACAAATGAAGTAACTTTTTAAAATAAAATTCCAGGTAAAGTGATGATATACACAACATTTATTTTCAATCCTGCTATTTTTTAGGCAAAAGACACTGGAAATTCACAATGTGGTTTCTTAGAATTAATAGCGAAGTAACATGTTACTGGCCTCTCTTAAATATTTTAAATAGCTGAAATTTTAAGAGGAAATGCTTAATTTTACTTAAAGCTCAATATGAAAGTAACCTGAAATTAGTGCTAAGTATCACCCATGCCTTGTTTATCCTCTGAATTCTTAGAATATACACACATTTGCAGGGTTTACCATAGCCTCTTTTTCTAAGGATTAAGTTACTCCAACTAAATTGTGTTTCTATATAATCAAGTAGAAAAATACTCCTATTTCATTATTCAAAGGACCTTAACGAGATTATCATCTCATTTCTATTAAATATTCAACTACACTCACTGATACTACCATTTCCATATTTTAATAATAGATAGTACTATACTGACTCATATCTATTTGGCTCTTATTTGGACACCAGCGATATTTGATATTCCTTGAACACTGCAGTCCAATAGCAAACAAGCAGTCCCTAGTTACAAACTCTAAGTCACCAATGTTTATGCATTAATGTGAGCTCTTTGGAGCCTGTGTAAATTGTCTCCCTGTATTTTCTGACATAGTTCGGCCTATGTCTCCCCTTGATCAAATACACTTTTCATGTAGAACAGAAAACCAAAGAATGGCAGCTAAAACTGTGAGTTACAACATTTATAAGCCTTGAAGGATTACATCCAGAACTTGACTGAGAAATTAGCACATCCAGAACTTGACTGAGAAATTAGCACATCCAGAACTTGACTGAGAAATTAGTCTGTAGATTCTGAAGCAGTCCTTCCCCCAACAACCACAATTATTATGAATGTATAATCTTTCTTGGAAACAATGTACCTATGATTCTTGTCTGAATGAAATGGCAGCATAAGACATAAGATGGAAAATCAATTCTTTTGAATGGGATGCATTTAATGAATTTCTTTTCATTTTAGGCAAGAAATTCTTCAGCATGTCGATGTAATAAAAAATTTTTCTTTGACCAAGAATAGTGTTCGGATTGGACAACTGATGCATTATGATTATTCCAGCCATAAATATGTTTTCTCTATTAGCAATAACTTCCGATCACTGCTTCCAGATGTGTCACCCATTGTGAATAAGCATTTTAATATTTGTGCTGTGGTTGGAAATAGTGGGATCCTGACAGGGAGCCGGTGTGGACAAGAAATAGATAAGTCAGATTTTGTTTTCCGTTGCAATTTCGCCCCTACGGAGGCTTTCCAAAGAGATGTTGGAAGGAAAACCAACCTTACCACCTTCAACCCCAGCATTCTGGAAAAATATTACAACAATCTTTTGACCATTCAGGACCGTAACAACTTTTTCCTCAGTTTAAAAAAGCTCGATGGGGCCATTCTTTGGATCCCTGCATTTTTCTTCCACACTTCAGCAACTGTTACCAGGACATTAGTTGACTTTTTTGTTGAACACAGAGGTCAATTAAAGGTCCAATTGGCTTGGCCTGGAAATATAATGCAACATGTCAACAGGTGGGTATATTTTATTGCCTTTAAGTCTTACCCCACCAGATGGCAGATCAATATTGTAATCTCTTAGGGGTGGGAGGTATCCGATTAGTTACTTCTTGTGGTTAGCTTAGCACTTTAGGGCAAACTCTTATGTTTTTGTAATGAAAGAATGAAGCATTCTAGGTAAGAAGTTCAATCTTCTACCCCCTTCTGGTAACAAAGTGCTAAATGGGGGGATTGGTGTTTTATCAGCCTCCCCTCTCTATTCCCTGTCTCCTTCCTTGGTGATAAGCCTAACAGGCAGTCATGGAAATCACCAAAAATCAAGAATTTTCTTTAAATGGATGGCTAGGTCCCCATAATGCCAATGGCGAAATTAGACAAACCAAGCAGGTTTCTAAAAAAGATGCAATTGACTTAAAATGTCCCTTTTTATTTGATATTTGGGAGTTTTGTCAATGTCCAAGATTAGAAAACCACCTAGGTAAATCATAAATTGTATAATTGGCCTTTATCATTTGGGATTTTAGTGCCAAAACATGTGAAGGGTATTTTATGAGCTTGTTGTTATCCCTTATAATTTGATAGAGAGATTGACCAGAAATGCAATATTTTCACCTATTCTGATGAGTCTTAACTCTGGCTATACATTAGAATCACCTGGAGAACTTTAAAAAATACTGTTGCCTTGGCTCTACTTTAAGGGATTCTAATGTAATTTATCTGGAGGTGGGAAGGGAAGGGCCCAGGTACCTGTTTTTCTTAATAATTCCCCAGATGATTCTAATATGTAGTCAGAATTGGGAGCCACTGGTCCAGGGCATTTTATAAAGCAAAATTAATTGTAAGATTCATTTTTCTTTAAATCATCTGGGGAAACTGCCTCAGCTCTAATTTCCCCTATGCAAGTAGCCTCCATGTCCTAACATACTGTCCAGATCATCCTACAAGTTAAAGTGGGTTCTGGGAGGACTGGTAATCCTCTAAAGTCTCCCAAACTTAAGATCTGTTTAGTTGACCTCTCATAGAAGGAGGAATCATCATCTAATAAAGTGGTATGTATCTAACAGGTAGGGTTAGGACCATAATGTATAGCCCAAACTGGAGCTTTGTCTTTGAGAGAAAGAAGTGCTATTAATAATGACAACAGGATAACAAACAAAATTTGGAACTATCTTAGTTTCTCAGGATGTATGGTCATCTTTTTGAGGGGTAATGTAGCCCAACTCCTAAGTTTAAAGATGAGTCAACTGAGGTACAAAGAAAAGGAGTTATTTACACAGTGTCACTGCCCAAAATGGGCAAAAACAGAATTAGAAGCCAGGCTTCCAGCTAACCTGTCCTCCTGTGGTCTTTGACCTCCTCATTTTGCTCCCCTCTTGCTTTATTTAAGTTCAGCCATACCAAAAGAATTGTCAGAAGTCATTCTAACTCCTTAGGTAAGAAAACCAGGACTAAACTTTTAAAATTTCAACTGGAATGGGGAAAGATCTATGTGTAGTAAAGAAGGAACTACACGTGCTTAGAAACTTCAGGAAACTGGCCTGTGTGGCCTACCCTGCCCCAGTTTTTCTGAAGGGCCATGGAGTTAGCCGTGATGCCGTGATGCTTCACAGCCACTCAAGCTTGAACCAAATACATCGGTTCAATGAAAACTCTAAGGAAATGTAGTGCATAGAAACCTGATTCACGAACAGTTAAATTTTGCTGTATAGCCAATGATACACACACACATACACACACACATACACATACACACACATACACACACATACATACACACACACACACACTCCCTGCAGTCTCAAATATGTGGTAGTATAGGTAGGAAGGCTTCAAATTACTGTCCAAATATGAAGGAAAAACAGCCATAATTTAGCATTTTTTTAATTCAGAAAATGTTTAAATATTTTCTTAGGCCCTGCCATGCTCAAGAAGGGCTCAGGACCCCCTAGCTAGACACCAACGGAACAGGGAATATGACCTTTTACAAGAAGGTACAGAAAAATAAGTCCCCACACTCTCTCCAGACCAAAGAAGAAGGATTTAATCTCTAGATAGGGGTAAGAAAGTGACACAGGAGGTGCCCGGAGATTAAACGACCTCCTCCCTACTTCCAAGGGCCCTTTGTGTATGAGAAGCAGGGTCATTCTCCCTGCTGGCCTTCTGTGGTGTCACCACCCAGCCAGAGCCACCACTCCTTAGGACAGCGAGAGGCAGGCTGGCATCGACCATGCACAGCCTATACGGTCACCCGGAAGCTGTGCTCAGAAGGCTCCAGTGCCCGGTTTAATGCTCCGCTGTCACCCTGTTGAAACTATCAGTGAGTTTTGAAGGGCCCACATTTGCGTTTTGCCCTGGGTCTCACGAATTATGTAGCCAATAGTGCCCTGAGTTGTTCTGTGGTCCAGAAGGTAGATTCAAAGCCAGTACTGTTTGCGGGGGAGGAGAAAAAGGCAAGTACTCTTTAAGTTCCATATACAAATCCACCTCCCGGCCCAGTCACGGTGACCTTATCGGATTGAAACCAACACTGGCCTCTGAATCCACATGTACTTATTATTCCGCAGGTACTGGAAAAACAAACATTTGTCACCCAAACGGCTGAGCACAGGTATTCTTATGTACACCCTTGCATCAGCAATATGTGAAGAGATCCACTTGTATGGATTTTGGCCTTTTGGATTTGACCCCAACACAAGGGAAGATCTTCCATACCATTACTATGACAAAAAAGGAACCAAATTTACCACCAAGTGGCAGGAGTCACACCAGCTGCCTGCCGAGTTCCAGCTGCTGTACCGAATGCATGGGGAAGGGCTCACCAAGCTGACTCTGTCACACTGTGCCTAAGACTCTGAACAGAAAGTGCCACATGGCCATTTAAAAAGTGCCCCAAATCACATGGAATAGTCTTCAGAATAGAACCCTAGAGAATTCCTTATAAAGATTGTCTGCCATTTAAAAGGAAAGATGTTGTCTCTCCCTCTTTTGCACTGCTCTTTTAAGGGTCTTGGAAAGACAAATGAATTGAAGCCACATGACTTAAACTTGATTGATAAAGGGAATGTTGCATTTGGAACTATGCTGCTAATGAAATGGTTTGAAGTATTTTCGTGTTTGTATTTTGATAATAAACTGCCTCCCGTTTTTTATGAGGACTAGAGCTGTAGTTCCCGCAGCTTTGAGATACAGTCCTCATAGTCACAGGCCTCTGGCCAGTTTGGGCAGGATTTCAGTTTTGCCTGGGTGGGATCAGACTCTTCAAAACGGAAACAAACAAACAAAAATCGTTTGCATATCTCATCTCTCACTCTCTCTTTTCTCCCTATCGTTCTCGATCTCTTTCCCTACAACCCCCTGCCCCACTGCTGTGGAGTTTAGCAATTTGCTAGGAATCATATTAAATTAGCTTTGCTTGTGTGTGTTGCATCTGTACTCGTCTGATGTGTTCAAGGCTCTGGGTAACTTTGATGTTTCATGACAAACTGACCAAATCATGATGGGTCCTCTTAGGATTTCTTTTATAAGAAATGCCTCTTATGAAGTTCTCACTGGTCCGTGCAATCATTCTACAGCAGAACGATCCCTCTGTGGTGAGTGGCATATACTGCAGTGCATCTTTCACTAATCACAAAGAAAATTTATGTCATGGGTGGCACTGCATCTTTTGACATGAGTGCTATTATGGCAAATCATTCTATTGCCACATCTGCAAGAGTATTCCAGCCTGAGTTTAGTGCCTCCCACAATCTCAACCCAAGCACTGGGCTGGGAGTTCTCTCAGAATATAGAGGCAATGAGTCAGGTTAAGAGCCTGGAACATATAGAGGAAAAGGAAGAAGAACGCTTAGAAGTTGTTATGGAATCCCCATATACGCTAAAGCGTTGTAACCATGGTGCCCATTCAGAGTCTTTGAAAACCAGGAGGGTTAGAGCAAAATAGAAGATCTGAAGTTGACCAGGACAGGCCCCCTGTGACTAGGGCTGAGGGGAGGTCATCTTCAGTATCATTGTGTCCACCAGCACCGCTCAGAACCATTTGTTCTCTTCAAGACAATTGTAGACACTGGGTAGTCCCTTTTTCCACTGAAATCTGTATATCTAAAAATGAAATAAAATCTGTATACCTAAAAATTAAGCATTTCATAAGGAAAAACCATTGGGTAATAGGAAGATTTGGTACAAAATAACCCTTGGAATTTGAGCTGTGTAGACCTGGAACGTAGGAATTAGTTGGCTATTTTCTTTTTTTATTATATCAGCCTCAGAAGTAGAAATCACATCACTCCCACCCCTGGCTTTTCACTGAGGAGCACTTTGTTCTTCCAGTTCAGCCCAAAGTCTGGCCAAGTTGACGTTAAATTTTAATAAGAGTTTGTTTCTTCTTTCCAAATGCCAGTCAAGCACATTTGTAATACATCTGGGTAGGGTAGCTTGTTCTTTTCCAGAAATCTCAGCCTAGATTGCTTGTAATGTTACAAATGCTGTTTAAAATAATTGCTGTAGTTCAGTAATCGGCTCACTGTCCCTCTTTGGGAAGGTATCATCATGCCCAGAGTTAAACCAAATTCAATAAGGAAAGACATAGTTCTTATGCTCATCTGCCTCCTGGTCCTAAAGGGGAGCTGTCTTATTCTCATGTTTTTCAGAAAGCTCATCAGAGCAGCTTACATTGATCCAGATATTAACTAGTGAAAGAAAAACCGTACGGGTTCAATTGTGACACACCTTACAATGCTGTATGAATGGCAATCCAAACAGACAGGAAGAAATAGGAATAGGTGTTTCAGAATGGGAAACACTAACACAGCTCAATACTTGAAATAATTAGAAGGGGAGACAGTAAAAAAACATTTTTAAATTCACTGGTATAATTTGATGGGCATCAAAACCACCTCATGCTTGTTTCCTGTCACTTTAAAGAGGACAGTACTCCAGTGCTCATGCTGTGCTCTGTTAGGATCACTGTGAGATTGATAACTGACAGAAGTGTTTAGTTGGCTCTTCCTAAGCACTTAAGTTCATTTGGTTACAGCTAAGTGATATTAATGCCAATGTTACATGGGCCAGATCCTGACTCTGGAGTTTTAATCCCAATGTGCCCATTAGATTTCACTAAATAGAAATATGTAGACACGTTGAACCAGGCAGGTTAAAAGAGCAAAAGACCAAAATCCCTAAAAACAGTTCATTGTTCTATGGTGGACCTTTTAAAGTAGACCTCGTCATAATGCCGTTTTGGTTTGGGGTGTTTTGTTTGTGTTTTTTTGTTTGTTGGTTGGTTGGTTGGTTGGTTGGTTGGTTGGTTGGTTGGTTTGGGGTTTTTTTGGTCTTTTCAAGTTCAGGAAGACATTTTACATCTCACATCACTCTTGGCTCCATCTTAACATCAGAGAGAGAGGATTTTTCCATCTCCCAACACCATTTCATCTGTCGCTTTCACAAGAACTCAGAATATTGAAGAAACAGGCTAGAGGGCTATTTCCCAGAACTAGAGGGCTTAGAGATCAGGCTTATCCTGTTGCCAGGCAGGACCTCCTGGAACTGATCCAAAAGACCACCCTTCCCTTTTCTTAAAAAATCTCTGAAGAAAGCCCCAAGCCCTGCCATAGTGGTTAACCACAATTCTCATACCTTATAAATTCTTTCTGCACAGGCTATCTCCCTCCTGTTTGAAAAATGAGACTCTGAATGTGGGTAAAGCTTCTATCCAAGTTTTCAGCATGTAGTAAGCACTCAGTATGTGGCAGCTTTTACTGTTGCTTCTTTTGTTTGTTGTGCCCTTGACCTGTAGTTCCAGCATAGAGAAACTCAGCCTCTAGCTGATCATTCGCAATCTCTTTTTGTTTTTAAAGACTGTTTCAAAGATCAAATCTATATGACCACTGTCACGACCAAAAGAGTCGGCGGGTCCCCTGAGTCCTGATTCGAAAGGCAGTAGTGTAAGTAACCAGAACTCCGGGGCTGTGCGGTCAAGAGCAGTGAAACAGGCAGAAAGGACTATTGAATCCCCCTTTCTGATTCAGCTCAGATACAAACCCCTGGCTTGTGCATTGCCCTTGCTTTATTGGTTCTAGGCTAAGTGCATCCTTTTGTCTGGGATCCTCACAGCAGAATTCACCCTCAGCTATTGGAATAAATTCCACCATTAAGTCCTCAAGACCATCTACATATGATACCAACACAAATGACCAAGTCAGTTGCAGAGGAGAAAAAAGCCCACAAACATTTAGTGACCAGCTTAATGCCAGTCCCTCAACCAGTTTTCATTGGTTGTTCTGAGAGTCATGTGCAGACATTTAAACCAGGGGATAGAGAGCTAAAATGAGGTATCAAGAATTCCCCCCACACCCAGAAATCTTTCCCATATTTGATGATTAAAACATTTACAGTTCCTCTGCCTTTGCTTCTGCGTCTCAAGTGTCCTTGACCATTGAAAAGTGCTGTGACTGCTGTACCATTTGCCTGTGACCTTCATGTCGGGCCGTATGACCATGGGGCTGCCAGCCAGGACGTGTAAGGGGGGAGGTTCCTCCAGCCTCCTTGGGCCCGGGCCTCCAGCCATCCACGAATGTGAGTGCCATGATCAACCTAATTTGGTGGGGAAGCTAAGGAAGAGAAGAGCATTTCCTCTGACTTTGGGCTACACAGTAGTAATTAGACACTCTCAGACAGCAAAGAAAGGTTGACCTGAGGCCAGAGGAAGCAGGGATGGAATTGTAGAACCATAGGATACCACAAGTGGAAGAGCCTTTCAGCTTCTCTAGTCCTAATCCTTGATGCTACAAATGAGATGCTACAAAGGAGAAACAGAGAGGCTAAGTGATTTTCCCAAGATTGCATAGATAATCAGTAGAAAAAGTGTAATTCCTCATCTACTCCTCATCAGCATTAAATGAATATGGGCCCAAAAAGAAAGTATTTTAGTCTGGGGTCCCCATGGCACAGAAAATAAGTCCAGACTGTAAAGGAGGAAAATTTATTCTCATCCCCCCTGCAAAAAAGTATTTATTTGTCAATGTAAAACAGTAAAGGAGATGGTTGCCTAGGCATACAACAGTCCATTGGTAATAACCTACATTCTCCCCTGAAATGAGAGAAAACCCCCTTGGTAAATCATGATTCTGGTAAATCACAATTTAGTTACTAACAGTTCACATTTGACAGCTGGAATCTTATCCAGCAATTCAGTATTCACCTTAGAAAACATTGTTTTAGCAATATGTATGCACAACTTAAAATTGAATACTGAGAATAGTTATGTACTTCTTTTTAAAATTTTTATTCAGTTTACTTAACCTAAAAAAAAAACCCAAAACAGTTCACTTGTTGTATTGCTCCATTTGTCTTATTTTCAGCTGGGGCCTGTTAAGGTAAGGAATACCTTTTGTCAATGCCTTCCACATTGTAAGTAATTTCAACAGCAGACTTTGCATTACTGCATTAGTTCAATATGTTGAGAAGATGTGCAAATAATAATGAATAATGTTGAGCTGAGTCTTCATGTGCAAAATAACAGACCAAATAATTTTCTGTATAAATCTGGATCCTTAAGTCCTTTTCCTCTAATTGTTTAAATGTGCCAGGCAAAAGTATCTGTTAAGCCTCTACTTCTCCCTGAATATGCAGAACTGTCCTTTTGCTTACAAAGATTGTTGGGACTGTGTATATGTGGCTGAAAAACCCAGATAGAGCAGCACAGGTGCCCGAGACCCCCTGGGCCACCTGACTGACCTATCTGGGCTCTGTGGCCCAATTAATCAAGGCCACGGATGAACTGACACCAAGGACCAAAATGACTAAATATGCCTCTCTCACGCTCTGATTGCTTTGCCACATAGATATAACATTTGAAATGGGAAACATTTTAGAATGTAATTATTGTATTACACA